AATTTCTTTCTAAATATTGCTGCATAGTTATTAAATTGTTATTGTTGATATTGTAATCTACAACATAAAGCTTTTTCTGTTTTAATTTTACATATTGAATATAATATCCCAGGAAGTGTTTCCATGTAGCGGATCTGAGGTGTTCTCCGAACCAACACGAGTAAGTAATTCAGCAGCCGATCTACCTTATACACGCAGCATTGACGTTTTGCGCATTGTGAATTTCATTTCATAACAAACTCCATTTTGAAACAAACACGCAAAATATTTTTTTCCAGTTTTCGTAAATTTTTAATTTACTCGCAATTGATTGTCACTGATTTTATACGGGCGGCACAGTCACTCGATAAAATCTCAGTCTTTTACATACAGTTGACTCTCTTTGAACGACCACTCTCGTAAGCGACCATACCCCGTATGCGACCACATTTTAAATAGCCGACTTTAGATATTTTGGTTCGATGACTATGTACAAAAGAACGCACACGAGGCTCCGGGGAAACAATGGATAATCTTGATTTATTCTTTTATTTCCACGGAGCCTCGTCTGCAATTCTTTTGTGCACGGTCACTGAACCAAAATATCTAAAGTCGTCTATTTCCCGTTATATATATAATAATTGCCAATTATATGGGAAGTTCCCATATAAAGTRTGTAAAAAAACTCTCTCGTAAGCGACCACTTTTTCCTGATCCCGAGGTAAATATTTTGGAAATTGTATTTTACAAACAATTTTTTCACATTTACAAAAAATCTACATTGAGAACGAGGAAGATTTTACAAATGATTTACAAAGTCTTTTGAAATTTACATAGTATGTGTCAAGGACCTTGGTCCTGTAAAATCAATTTTATAGCCTGTTTACAAAAAATTAACACATGATTTACATAGTAGAGCAGAGTCACATGAACCATGAAATAAGAACTAAAAAGTACTAACTAATAGGGACTATTAGTTCCTAATACTCGTTAGCACTGAACAAGAACAGTTTATTTTATCCAATAAGCAATACCCAAGGGACCACTTTAACAATCAAAGTAATCTCTTTGTACTGTTCTGGTTCAGTGATAGTGTCTAAATAGTGCCTATTAGGTACTAAGTATTTAGTTTCTATTTCATGGTTCAAGTGACTCTGCTCTATGTAAAAGTCTGAGGTTTTCCAGTGATAATAATTACTTTATTTATATCAGGCTGTTTAAGTTCTTGGATAGGACTTTGACATAGTCGCGCTTTAAAAGTGACTTGGAAATTACTACGATCTCATGTTGCTTAAAGTCGACCCCTAAACAGACCAATTTATACCAGTTTCAAAAGATCCACGATGATGGTTTCTTTTCTGTGTACAAATGATATCTTATTGAAAGATGTTTCAAAATCAAATATGTCGAATCTATCGCGCATGTAAGAAAACCTCGCAAATGTTCTTGAATCTGCACTTGAGCCAAAGTACTCGGTATATATGGATTTTATGAGAGACAAATAGAGAATATCTATTTTAATTAGTAGACGCATCAGTTTTATAGACTCTCTGCATGTGGTGTCAAAGCAGCTTCATTATTGGAGGACAAAACAAACGCCGGATTTTTCCCTTTTGCAGGGAATTAGAATTCATAGTTTTGCCTTCCAGTTGGAGCYTCATTCCCATGAACTGAAATCTTTATAAACTAACATTAATTCAATCTCTATTTTTGTTTTCAGAGGATGGACGATTTTGAGTTGTTGGTTAGTATCAAATAATTTATTCTATTCACAAGGAGTCACCGCGCGAGTAGCCAMACAAGAATGTTAAAACAAATTACTCACAGAATATTGCTAATTATTGTTAGTGTGCAACWACTAGACCAGGAAAATCCCCTGAGAAATAAAAAAACAAAGCTATCGCCGCCATGTTGGAAGAATAAACAAGTGAAACTAAGGAAAAATGCTTTTTGATATTCATCCAAAATGGCGATGATGACGTAACTTTCACGCCAAGAATGYTCTTCCCTTGATTRCAACTTGTTTRTTTTATGGMTTGTTTCAGAGACAACATTGGGACGAAATCGACGATGAACTTCAATTTAAAAATGACGTTGGGGTATGTTGACAAGAGTTTTTTGTTTCTCTATATGATCACAGCGGCCATCTTGGAGAAACATTTCTTATTAGTATCATACTTTTCATATATGCAACCATAATTAATAAAGGCAAATGGTTTGGAATCCTTTTGCTGTACTCTTTTGTATGTATTTTGAGGTTAAATCAGTCAAGACCGTGCACAACAGTTTTCTAAGGGACGATGGAAATTGAAAAATGAGTGAACAAAAATCTCTATTAGATTATGAATGAAATATTACTATATCGGTTAAAATTAATTGAAATATTGAAAAGAATGATTTTCGCTCTGTTCATTCAGATGTGACCATTATGACTAAAACAATAGTTAAACAAAAGATATTGTGCACGTCACGCAAACGTGCAAAAAAAACATTTCCATTTCTCTCTACAACATAGCCTTGGCCTTTTATCTTTTGAACCACATGAGAATGATTGAAAAAGATCAATACGTTTCTATAGAATTGCCCGAGTTTTGAGGTCATTCTTTTAAAAAAATTGTAAAGATTTATTCAGAACACCAGGCTAGATGAGCTAACTAAACGTCTCTTCGCGGACAAAGACAAATTCATAATGTTTTTGAAAATCGTGGTAAACATAGTGTGGACTGGCTTTAAAGTAAATATTGTTTTTCTTTCTAGGAGGGGATTGATGCCTGTGCTCACCAACCGGTTAGTAATCTTTTAGTTTTTTTTTTTTGTAGGTTGTTGACAAAACATAAAATAGATCAAAATAATATAATCGTTTCAATCATTATTGAACCCAACCGTGATGTGTTTATGGGAGAAGGAGGGTAGACAGGGTACCAGTGAATCCCCAGCCTTAAAAAAGCCAAATCAATTTAAAAACTTGAAAAAATATATTAATTCAAAATCTTACCGTTCACAATTACAGTGTGCGTTGCAAAGATTCTTTCATTTCGATGTCATGTGACGTCATATGKAGAATTTTGTATGTAAGGACCTCTGGATTTCTAATGCAGGACGACCATTAAAGTATTGTTGTTTTTTTTTTCAGGCAATCGAGAGCGATATTCCAAGGGTAAGATAAACACAACTGCAGATTTTTTAAACGTACATAATAATGCATAATCAAGGTTAAAATAGTGTAAGAGATTGCTCCGACGTTAATTAAGCCTCAGTATTCAATAGCAACCATCGTCTTCCCTTGGGAGGGTTCCAGGGGACAGACATCCTATTCCAATGTATATCTCCGTCAAGTATGGGCGCTTTGGCGCTGATAAATGACGGTAATAGATGAAGTGAAGGTTTTGGCACCATCTTGTTTCGGTAGGCATAGCATACAGAGTGAACTCGATGTCAAATAATTGAAGTTGCATTCCTACTTTGAATGAATCATTAATTTTAAACGTTTGATACTACAAAAAGGATTCAACTGGCGAATTTTAAAGGACTTAGTTGATCTAGGCATGAATTTTACGCTGTATTTTCCCGAGCCAATGCCTACCCAAACAAAATGGCGGAAGAAACCGTCACCTCAACTATCCACCAACAGATTTGTTTTTACGTCATAGTTCAGTTAAGGTTACAATTTATATACTGGAAATCGGCAACAAACATACGCCTTGTTTTTAATAAGCTTATAGAGAGACTCTGCTTAATACATTGTTATCCTTTAAGATATCTGTTTAGACATTCAATTTTATAATAATTTTAGGTTTCTCCAATTTCATTAGTCCCAGAAGTACAGCCATTCCCGGTAAGTTTCTTGTATTTTCAGTTGCAATTCAATATTTCTTATAGAGTTGGGCGTGACGCTCCAATATCCGGAGTTCATCAAAATTTTCAACCATATCCTGTGCAAAACATATCAAAGAATTGTATGTTATTCGTGCGGGATCCCTGTGCTTTCTAGTTTTGGGCTCCATGCCAAATATGGAAACAAACAAAATGGACGATTGCTAAGAAGTGTTTTTGCTATAATATCAGCAAGTATCCATGTCTTTAGATAAAATAGCAAACACTAATATTTTTTGAATGTACTAAACTAAAAATCGTATCTGATTTGTGAGTGCCAGTCGCTGACAGCCCTGTGATTATTCAGTGCAGCTAGTCCCATGCTTCCGGCTTTCGTTCTTAGTTTCGATGAGGCCATGCCAGGTGTTGTGACCATGGCCATGGAGAGCTCGAGGTCGTTTGTATTATTGTAGGTTGTGGTAAAAAAGTTATACATTTTATAACATAAAATGTACGAGAAGTAACTTAATAAGATAAGAAACGTTAACATTTACGTGTTTACACTTCAGCACTTTTTATTATTTTTTATAACAATTTAACAGAAAATTGAGCCAGTCGCTGTAAGTTCCGGGGGAAGTTTGTTTTAATTAAGTATTACAGCGAAAATCGTTGCATTGTGACTTTTTCTTTTTGAAGTTTGTTTTGATTTTGTTCTTTCCCTCGATCTAAGGGGCGGAGCTTTTCTTAAACTCGGTCATTCAGACGGTGATTTGTAGCAACTGCACCGTGAAGTCACAGAAAAACATATCCCAACGATATCTTTTGAACTGTTGAAATGTTGAAATGAGATATATAGTGTGAGCTAAAGTTGAGAAACCCAACTCTTGTTTTAAATCATCAAGGAAAGAGATAACAGAAGAGTTTGCTTCTACTAACTAGGGTCACCTCTTAGGTGTAAAAGCTCAATTGACTTAAAAATTGAGGTACGAGGGGGTGTTTTACCTAAGAACAAAGCACGATCGACATGTTTAGAAACGGCTTACAGCTAAATTAGCCAGCACGATGTCCTTCCACTGAATACTGCCTTTCTATCTCAGATATTTGACAGTTCTTTTTGACGTTTTAGGAACCATCTTCACCAGCTCCACCTCCTCCAAAATCCGAGTCTAGCATGATAGGTGTAAGTGAGCAGTGGTTTCCAGTTTGAGATATTAACAGGCTATACCCGCAAACTTCCATCTGTCGTCCATAGCTACTTTCCTCGCTAATACCCAACTTCTCCACCCACTTGTATTGTCCCTTTGTTACTGTTTTGTGATTTTTTTGGCTGGTTTGATTTTAATACATATCAATTACCCTATTATTCTTTGTTTGTTTGATTTCGTTTGTTGTTATTATTTTAGGTAGCCTACTACTACCCGCCGCCGGTAAGCTACAGAGCGTTAGTAGTGTGTCTTATGAAAATCTTAGTGTCGTTGAAATTTGAACATTGATGGGGTTCAATCAAACGCACGTTTGACATAATTTTATGGTGGAGCCCCGAGGTTTTAGCGGTGTTCCAGTTTCATTTCATTTTTTTAGTCTTACCGTTATACCTAGATATGTATTATATTATTGAATATTAATCACTTGGGTAAGGGTTGAGTTAGGGTCGGGTTAGGGTACGATTAGGATCATATTCTAATTTGAGAAAGCTAACATACCAGTTTTTATAACATACACTTTGGATGTCTCGTTTTCCTTTTTCTTTATTTTATTAATTGACCACTTTGCCACACTTCGAATACTCCAAGCTCAATGGTTAATGAAAGCCATTGAATAGTTATTCTAAAGTTGGGCTGTTAACGAAGTAATGTTGTTTAAATTTCAAGAAACCCGTACCTGAGAAACCTATGGAAGAATGTCCGGTAAGTTGTAACTATTGCTTATCAAACAAAATCAAATGCTCGAATTCGTTTCGGGTCTGCGTAATCCTTTCGAATTCTCCCGGTCAACCCCTCAGGCTATGTAGACACAGGAAAAAGATAATTATTGCTTAAATAGTTGCCTGTTAACGAAGTGATATTGTTTAAATTTCAAGGACATCGGACAAGCAGCAA